AAAAAAAAAAAAAAGATTAATATGTTAGCTTATATAGATAAATAATTAAACACATTTTCACTATATTTATGACTACAACTTCATTATATATCTTCATCTTTTTTCACTATATTCATTTAAACGTTTAATTTCTAAAATTTTAATCACTTTTGAAAAGTATAAGAATATATACATATATTTTCTTTGAATTCAGAGATTTATGAAAACGTTATACATTGCTATCATTCAAAGCGAACCGTTTGCACATATAATTCGGTTCAACTTGTAGATTGCACAAATTTAACCTTTTATTATATTTAAAAGAACGAAGGTCGAGAAATTAATTATTAAGTGAACTGAGTAGAATTTGTCCGCGAACAATTATTGTGTTATTATTGTTTTATTATTATTATAGGTCTTAAATAAAATAATCGAACTAAACCTATTAATTTATTTCAAACAATTTATTTGTAAGTGTCTACTTTATTAAAACAAGGTGAGTGTTGACAACCGAACCCGGTCAAACCAAACTCGAGGATACTAAATACAGATTAAGCACACATAAATCGACTTTACCCCTGAACCGACAACCGGCTTCTTAAGAATCGAGGTCTTCTCAAAAGACCGACATCCCATGAAGCCAAGTTCGAAGCTGGAGACAAGACGCCTACGCGGCGAAACCGTACACTACCCATATCGTCATCATTTATGTGAGTCCGCTTACAGAAGAATAAAAGCGTTTTGCATTTAATAATGCTGTACCAACCTTCAAGTACGGGTCACACCAAAAGTTACCATAATTAGCATAAATTATTATTGTACGAGGATCAAATTCCAGACACAATATACAAATATACAAAAATAGCTCGGTTCATGCAAAAACCGACTTATGTAAACCTTAATCATCCATCAATAACAAAAATTCCTTGCATCGTACTCGTTAATTACACATTATTACCATTGTTAAATTTCACACAACAACATGGAGTCGACTCGAGCTTTAAAAAACAGCTCAAGTTTATTTTTTTTTTTTTT